TAGGCGTGATGGTTGCCACTACGCGTTTGGCCACCTTGATAACTAGCGCAAATGCGCGGGACGACTCGTACAACACATGCAGCGTGTTAGTTTAGATGTACGCGTATTCAGCTTAAGTAGCAAACGCTTATGGTTAAATAAAGACGTTTTATTAAAAAAAAATTAATAAAAATTCGTCCTGATAACTAGAATCACTTGCCAGCTCAGCAGACGCCTCCTATAGTTACGTCGTTCTGAAACCTTTCAGCAGACCTACTATGAACAAGAAGCAAAGACGAGCATTGTTTTGTTTTCTAGAGTCTGAATAATTCATGCCTCGTATGGGTGTGGGTGACGCGGTTTGTCGCAAAAGCAAGATCGCAACAGAATTGTCACAGTTTTGTCAGCTGCTTCGGGAAAGTACGGAAGAATTGAAATCTAGTCATCCTTACTTACGTATCAAAATACGTGTGCTTTTCGAAGCAGAAGGTCGCGGTACAGCAAGCGTTCTCACGTTCACTGTTAGCAGTTTGTCACCGCTCGTGCATAAAATATATGCACAGACCTTTCCACAATTTTGTACAAAGTTAGCCTTCACCTCAGCTGTCCTATTGACCTCAAGTTCACATTAGAATTATAGAGAACTTTATTACCAGCTAGTTGTATTATTAAGAGAGTCGATCAATGGTTGTCCAGATATATCTGAATAGCGGGCTTCTTCGATTCGAAATATTTTAATATGTAAAGTTTGGGCTCCTGGCCACTATCTATAACACCCTCGATCTATGACAAATCTTTGCGAGTCGGTGCAATCTGTGCCATTTTGAAACAGAATAATGGGTCAATTTGCTTAGAAAACTTGAGCTTCTATATCTCACGCAAATATACCAAGAATACTGAATAATGAGTAGACGACCATTTCTGTTTTTCAGGACGAGCCTATTTTTTCTACAGGAAATGTTGGACAAACTGTTGAATAACTTCTGTAAACCAGATCTGAAATATTCAGCGCGCCTTTTGTACGCGCTTCTACATAACTTTTTCTGTCTGACGTTTTCGCTTCGTTGCTTACGTTGGTTCTTGGACGATGTGAATTAAGTCTTATAGCTTGAAGCACTACTCGACGGCAGTACCTGATGTTTACACTCAAGATATTTATTAACTTATCTAGTTCTTGTAGCTTCCGTTGTAACAACGAATCTCACTTATTACGACAACCTATGTGGCAGTGTCTGTGTTATGGATGTAACTTTACTGTCCTAATTATAGATCTACTGGTAAGTTTACTGATGATTTACCCCATCGATATTCCCGAAGTATGAATGCGTGCAAAATGCGCTATTGTGAATGCATCTGGGCGATTAACACGGTTATAACTATTCATAAAATTCTAAAATATAGTTAGTTCTACTTTTCTTTCGGACCCAGCTTTAGATCTTTGGGTTTTGACAGTAAATTTTGAAGTAATGGTTGAATCAGAAACGCCGTTTCGCTATTTCTCTATTGAGGCACATGTCATATGTGCTGTATCTTTTTTAATATCCCCGAGTTTACAAATCCATAAATCTCGGACAATATATCTTTATCGGTTGTCGACAGTGGTGTAAACAGATTGCTACCAGGAAGAAAGGGCGTGGGACGTCCTCCAGAGAGTACAAAGACATGCGAGGAGCTACAGGATCATTCGTTTAGGACACATAATTAATGGGACACATTAAAAATCTTAAATTCCACTTGCCCTTAGGACACAACGCACTGCGCACACAATTTTATTTATCATCCTACAGGTCTCACCGGAACCATGTGTAGTTCCGTTAATCGAATCCCCGCCGCCCACAGCATCGGAAAATAGTGTTATTACGGATCCGAACGCGCGAAAACGAACACTTAATTCAACGCACAGCCGACGCACAAGTTAAGTCAATTAGAGAAGAAATTTTTTTTCCACAGACGTTAAAAGGTTGCGGTTACAACGAAAATGGGGTTTCCGCCGGCGATTGATATATTGCATCTGTCAATCGAAATGCTAACACGGAATAACAAGCGCACATAGCTGGCAAACACGACATCTTTTTAAAAAGACTCGAGCGCATACGTGTATTGTTGTTTATTCATATTAGCAGTACAAAAAATTGAAACTATGATCCTCAAACTATAGTAACGGATTGGTAATGTTCAAGCAGGCTGGACGTATGTTATGACGACAAACATAGGCTTACAGTGACGGCAAAAAAAAAATTATACAAGACGTTAGAGTGTTGTCAAACTGTTATGCTTTGCTATATACGCTATATCAGAGCGTTATTCGGTAAAAGTAGCCGGGGTAAAAGCTGTTCGCTGGATTGATTCTGATTTCCTATTCGGCAATAGCCATTAGAATCAGTATTGCACACAAGTTTAATTCGGTAATTTTATCAGTATAGAAAAAATTTAACTTAATTTTGAACATGCATGTTTTATTCTCGTATGGCGATATTCTTCTTACTGAACAGGAAACTCGCTTTACCTAACGAGAGTTGCACGAATCCTTTTTTTAACATATGAAATCTATGAAACATATGAAAATGTTACCTGACATTTAATTACGTTCATTTTATCTCATCTCATATTATTGTCCTTACAATATAGCACATTTTATTACCACCTTAATCCTTTTTTTTTTATTTTCCATTTATACATCTCCCAGTATTTTACATGCGAGCAAACAGTACGACTTGTTCAAAATGATGCTTCCAGCATTTACTTAAACAGCGTTTAGAAGAAATTTAAATTAAACGAGATATTTAATGAAGTAGAAAGACGACTTAACATCGACCATTGTATATATGTATCCATTCGCATTAAGCGACGATCTTCTGTTCAGCGCATGCAAACACAATGACCGATACGAGATACTATCTATACCTCTTCTTGGCTTCTAAATAACTTGAATCACCCAGCAAAACAAAGCCACTGAATCTGACGCTTTGCTAACAGTTGCTTTGTGAGCGAAATGTTCACACTGTTTAAAGATGTTATGGTCACTAATGTTTGGGCGCTGTCACCTGTTTGGAAAATGTAGGCCAACACAATTAACTACATATACTATCTTACGAAGTCGCTAAAATCGACACTATCGTTAGTTTGAGTAATTCTAGGTAAGGGGAGGGTATACTTCGCCACATTGTTTTTCTTCAAATTTCTCGTGCGTTATAAGTCAGCACGGGAGGTCTAGCTCTTCTTCCATAGTCTTCACCAAGTCTAATTGACATATTGAAGTAAAGAGATTGCAACAGACACTTTCCAAAGTTCAATCCCATATAGCTTGTAACAGCGTTGTACACTCTCTAGTCATTGTAACGAACGTACGAGATACCTAGCGACGTTTACAGGCGATGGGACAGATATACAATTCGCCACTGCTGTTGGACAGTTGCTGGAAAAAGTTTCTTATCGTGAAAGTGTTGGCAGAGTACCGCCTCTACGATCACTTTCTCAGCAACCAAATGAACTTCTCACAGAGCAACAGTAATTTTAATAATGTAAGTTAGTCTCTTCACAAATTTGCTACTGCGTCCTTACTATGGGGTCAAGTTGCGAGCGCCACCATTCAGTCACCCTTAACACGCCTATCGTACCGTGTCCATCCGTCCGTCAATTCTATGACAAACATTTATAGGTTGTTTCAATCGCGTTGATTGTGAATGCGGAGAGGAGTTTCGACGCACTTTATTCCCCCTTCTTGTTCAAGAACAACAAACCTATATGGCGCGAGGCTATACGGGTATACTACAACATAGCCTGTAATTGGTCTACTAGTTAACTGGCTGCTTGTAGTCTAGTGGCATCTTGGTAAATGGCCATCACGACGCGTGAAGCCTGCCAGCATATAACATGTTGATAATGTATTTGTTGGGAAAACACAATATTTTCCAGTCTGCCATTGAGAACGAACGCCACAGTTCGCAAACGTTTTGAAAGCTGTGGGGAACCGCATGACCGAATTGAAACTTATAGGAAACATCCGTTTGGCTAACAAGGAAGGTATAATTTATGGACAATGTACGGACGCTTTTTTATTTATAATGGTGAGTTAGAACACAAAATGGAAACCCTGTTAAATAGATGACATGTGTTTTTTTGATTTCCAAAAATATTCGTATAAATTGGATATTTTCTTCGAATGCGGGTATTTTCTTGTATGTTCTTTTGGAAAGGGCTGGATATTTGGGGGCTGGATGATTTTTTTTTGGGGGGGGGATCTGGACGAGAAAGCGGCTATGATTATTGATAAGCAGATGAGCCTCGTATTGAATAATTTGGTCTCTATTAAAATACATTTTAAATTCAAGAACAAAAAATGTTTTTTTGAAAATAGCCATTTCGGGCTTAAAAACCTCTTCTCCAGTTCTGACCTTCAAAACATGAAGACAGCTGATCAATTCATGTTGCACGACTTACGTACAGTTTATTACATATACGAGTATGGTTTGGGCGGTTGAGTACGGGATATAACTTCTTCATTTTTGATGCTGAGTGATTTGACAGTTGAAGCAGTATCGTATTATTATAAAACCAGTATATTAAAACCAGCGTATATCTATTCCATCTTACCGTAAAAATCAATGCCTATACTTACAGGCCACTACTTGATTTTTTTAATATTTCTATAATAGCTTTAATACAATCAACTCGCAGTTTTATTTATTACTATGATTAATATCAGTATAACACAGGTAGTCAAAATATATATCATTTTTTGGCATCTTCCTGTTACATGACCCTATAGACCTGCATCGACATCCTGCCTGCTTTCACCACAGTGCCTAGGATTAAGTCATGTAAAAGTCCATTGTTAGTGCAGAGTACTTTGCGCCATCACTATATGAAAACGAAGTACATTTCTATATGGAAAATACAAACACAGCTGATATTCCACTCGCACTATGCATCACACATTAACATCCATTCACGATGTGGACAGGTACTTCAAAATCGAAGTTTTTTAGGGCTACGTTCATGCGGAAGTCCGTATATACACAAACAGGTACGCCTCATGTTACATCGTTTTATGTTTAATACTATTATTAGCGTTATTAACTAACATTATTAGAATAACTAGTCATATAAATACACAAGGGATGTTTGCTGATCAGTTAGAGAAATGGTTGAATTTTCGCATTTAGAACCTTATACATAGACATTCCTCGCTTTAGGGCTTCTTCGTCATTGTGGCTGAGTTTAATTTGTCTATGACCTTCACCACCATCCATGACCTCCGTGGCCGTCGTTCAAAGTGAGACCCCTTAAACCTCTATTAAGTCCAGCTCCAAGACCTATAATTAAATTATGATGGGAGGTATATAAGGCACTGCAACATCAAACAACTTTCTGAAATGTCTTTTACAGAGATTTAGCTTACTTTATTTAACAACAGCGCAGGGCACCAATGTCGCTGTTTCGGTAAACACTGGAGCTTATAGCAAAAGGCCCAATATTTTCACTGTTAAATTAGACACATGCTCCAACAACTAGCAGTTGTTCGGCCAATGACTTTAATATAACAGCCATGTTATAGTTAATGATACTAAAATTTATCAAATATAAAACAAGTGTTGTTATAAAGTTACTAATTACTGTTAATTGTGAACTATTATAAATAGCATTAGAGGATTCATACCACGTCCTTCGACAAGGGATACTCCGGGTCCGGTCACAAGCGATGGAATTGGGTTATTGAAGACTACAAGAGGCTCCTCGCGGATCGACGTGATAGTGTGGACGGGTTTAACACCGACCTTGAGAATCGGAACTGCTTTAGGCACGTACGTTACAACGGGCTGCTTAACAATTTCGTGACCGACGACCGGCACTTTCACGTAGTGGGTGTTAGCATGTGCATGATGTCCACCGGGCGAGACGATGGACTGGTGCAAATGAGTGCCATGAAAACCTGCCGAGGCTAGCACCACGACGGAGGCAGCAGCAGCAAGAAACATGCGCTACGAGCCATAAAACGCGAAGTGTACACGAGAAAAAAATTAGAGTGCGAGGGAAGTCTTATAAAAAAAATGCTAACATTTTATATAGGTATAGGTATATACAGAACTGTATGGGGCAGAGTCTATATAACCCTATCGCGTGTTTTTCCATCAAAGGAACGTTGATATAAAATATCTATACTGTTGAACTTCTAGAATTTTTTAAATGCATTCGGGTCAAAAATTCAGTGCAGTCCGCTTTACTGGATTTTTTTCTTTGATCGAATTTTAGAAAGCAACGGAACAGCCAAGCGTTTCTTTCGCATTTAATCGAGTTCGGCTTGAACAGTAACAACTATCGCCTCTCCATTTACAAAAGTCGACATTTTTAAAGGCAAACTGAATTGAAATTGGGCTTTGTGAGAGCCATTACATTGGGTTATAGTACACGACTGCCCTGGGGCCATATGAACCAGCTGGGTCGTTTTAAACATATATGAAGCAGAATGCAGTCTATGCTAATGTTACAGAGAAATTGAGAGAACTAACTAGCTTCAGAGTACAACTTCGTTTAATAGGAAATCATATATTAAGTTAAATTAGAGCATCGTAGTTTTGCACTCGCTGTAACCAAACATAATTGTTAAGTAACAACGTTACGCGCGGTTTTAAAATAAATTTCAGTGACTTCGCATCGTTTGGACAAAACAATATTGGCAAAATGGGTCCTACATTGTGAATAAGCATGATTTTATCTCAGAACTTACTACTACTACTAAATAATTATGTATGCTACAATCATGCAGGTTCAGTCCGGTCAAGTAGGCTCTAGAAAGTGGCGCACACATTGTCCGAATCCAACTGAAACTCGTAGACGTGCCGATACCTATGCAGACTGTGTAGTTATAGACATGAAGTAAACGTATCAAGATCTTTAGCCTATCTAACTTGGCGGTCGATGACTATAAAGCATCGGCTTGTCTAGCCATAATCACAGTTCTTACCAAGAAAAGGGTTTCGTTTCTAGTTCTGTTGAGCGACAATGTTCTTCTGCGCATGAATCATCAGTGGCCTGTGTGGGCCTATTGTCGGCCCATGTTACCATACTTTGCAGAGCTATATGGGCCAACGATAGAAGTGTTCTTACTTAATATTGTCTTGAAAAACAATGAATTGTAGTAGTCCCATTTCAGCGGCATAGAAAGAATTCACAAATTTAATATATAAATTCCTTTTTTCTTATTTTCAACGATAGCGTAAAACAAATTCTGGCCCATCTAACCCAGCTCTCACCTATGCGTTTAGTTTAAAGAATCTGTCGTAGGCTTATGAACTTCTTGCGTTCGGAATGACCGCTAAGTTTCGATTGGTTTTCTAACGAGAAGCAGCTATGTTGCAGCTTCCAACTCTAGGCTCTTAGCAGAAGAAACCGCTACTAGCGACCCAACTCTACTATGATTTCTGGAAAAGGCATTACAGTAGATCTGGGTTTTTCTTCTTACACAAAACACAGATCGTCACCATATCGTCAGTTCTGAACCACAAGTCTGTTTATATGAACAATTGGCCACAACACGTCTATCATGTTGTTCGTGTTTGTGTGTTCCATAGCAAAAATTGGTATGCATTTGCTTGATCGAAGTTCAATAGATTCAGACAACTGTAATCTTTTAATTTGGTAGTTAGTAACTCAAAAAATTTAACATACATCTTATTTTTGTAGAGTACGATAGAATTTTCTGAAACATTCAAATAATTAACATACAAAAAAAAAAAAAAAATTGACCAATGAGACTTGTTTTTGCAAAACTATAGGAAATAGAACACGACAATTTATTAAATTTTCAAAAGAAACAATATATATATATATATATATACGTATGCACAAACGAGCTAGTTTAATAGATAGTTATGTGATAGCGCGTGTTACAACCGCGAATTCTAGTTAGTCTTTCTTCATCGAATACGGTAGCAACCGACTACTTCTAGAATGCTTTTCCTGAGCACCTCTTTTTTCTCTCGTCATTGCTATATATATATATATATAGATATATATGTATACTGCTTAGCATCTGAGCTCTCGTAGCCTATTATTATAAGCATGTGCCCAAGTAAAATCAGCGTCAACCTATATGAGGTATTATGATAGATAACGTATACTTCCTACTAATTTTGAATTTCGAGAAATGTCTTCAACAAACAGGATATGTTGTCGATTTACCGCAAAAAAAATGTTTTGTGAGTGTCGAAGGGTCGATAGTCCATAGGAAGGGCGATTGGAGAATATTCACTAAATTATATTGAATCCTAGTGCACGTTCATCGTTGCCAAAAGTAAAACATTAGATCCCTGGCGTTTTTCTGTCACTTTTTTGATACTGCATAGGAAATTTCCTTGGCGCTGTTGGGTGCCACCCAGATAGAAACAGTATCGGTACTAGCCTGCGTCAATTACTTTTCTTTTTTTTTTTTTATAAATTTAATTAACAGTTAGGGCAGACATCTGAAAGCAAAGGTCAATCTGATCGGAGAAAGATACCCAACTTCTCAATAATCCTAAAAACATAATTTCCACTACATTGATATGCGAACACAATAAGGCCATTTTGTTGTAACAGATAGGTATTTTTTTTGGGCAGGATTTGATGACTACTGTGAGGACACGCGCTCATTTGAATGCCTAGTTTCGAGATACAACTGCTGTTCCTGCGACATGACTTCTCTTTGCGTAAAATAAGCGCGATCCTTTAATCCGTTAAACAAATAGTTCAGCGCCGTGCTCGCTCTGTCTATTACCTCTGGATTGGCTTCTTGCTTTGATCAGTTCACTGTTTTTCTTTTATCGATAACGGTTTCTTATTGGTTGTTGTACTCTCTAGCCATTACGTTGTACCGAAAGCCAGTACCACAATAGACAGACTGTATTTTGATTCACTTGCTCGTTTTGCATCCTATTCGACTTGAAGTTATATTCGCATTTCAATGGCGGCCGGCTTTCACCAGTACTTTGGCACAGCATAGCGATAGGAATAATGTGTAATAACAGCAAAAACGGCGATCTAACCACGAAATGACTTTTTTTTGGTTTCTCTATTCCCCAGTTTAACCTACCACGTTCATGCTGGGAGCAGAGGACGACGATTCCGGGGAATGTTGAGCACGAAGTACGCCTGTACTGTGTATAATAGTAGTACTATGAGTGTAATCCAAGAACGACGAACGACGTGGTATGCGGAACGGCGTACGTTATCTGTGAATGTATGTATGTACGTGCGTGAGTGTATCCGTGTGTACGTGTGTGTGTGTGTGTGTGTGTGTGTGTGTGTGTGGAGAGACACCCAACAACAACAAACTTGAAACACAAGAAACTAGGTACGATAACGGCAGTCGACAACAACTCGAAAAACCAAACCAAATAACCAATTAGGACAACAAGACCACCACCACACGATTCGAGCACCACGAGTGACGACGACAACAACACTGGTGTCTGACCGGGCGCCGAACCAATTTATAGACGCGCGAAAAGCTCAACAACGAACGACGCTTGATGCCCGCCAAGGAACAACCCCTTCCCAAAGCTTTATTCCCACTTTCTCTTCGGACAAACACAGCCGGTTCTTGCGCTGCTATAATGCCAATGCTGTTGTATTGTGGTATACTGCTAATGCAGTGACTCCGGATACTCCACTGCCACAGCAGTTCAACCGGCGTTCAAATCAGCTCTGACGCTCTTTCAGACGTCAAACATTCAGCAATCGCTAAACCGACCGCCGATACATTGGTACTCCAGTAGCTGGCGTATACCAACGAGCAGGTGGCTCTGTTCCGGTTAGCGCAATAGAGTAGTTAATGGCATGGTTAGCTGCGACAACAACGACTTTGCCAGCTACATGATGAGAAAGATAATCGAGGGAAGCAGAAAAATTCATGGATATAGCGCAATGACTACGGGGAGCTGGCAAGCGAGTGGTGTCAGCCACCGAGCCAACTACTGCGATAGAGTGGACATGTGCGTTGTCAGCGTGTGGCGCATCGGAGCCTTACTAGATCGTCGGCGTGTGAGGGGGAGAAAAACACCGTTAGTACTTGTGTATACCAACCGTCAGCGGTGAACGAAACCGGCCATCATGAACGGATATCGCGACTCCACCTGCATGCCATACACCAGCGTACATAATATCATCGTTGATCAATCGTGCCAGACGTGGTGTAATGCCCAGCTGCCTGCCTCAAGTTGGGTTAGATACAGCCATTAAAACTTGCGCGTGTGCGGACGTGAGTGGAAGCGTCTGTATCAGTGGCAAGATGGCGGTAGGTCAGATGCGTAGCTGCGGTGGCTTCTGCTTTTGCAACTGAACTACAAACAGCAGAAATTACTCTGCCATGCGTTGAGGCATAGCTGTGTGCACGGTGCAATGCTGTCAGGGCAGCGCTGAAAATCAGCTTGCGTTGAAGTGCGGCTGGTTGAAAGGTAGGGGGTGCGCCACCCCTAAACCATGGCCAGTCGACAGCGGGCTATCGAACAAACGAACTGCGGTCGAGCAGCTGATTGCTGCACACGCGCTATCGAACAACCGTCTCAGTCCGGCAAAAAAGCCGACGTCTGCAGTTATGCGACCGTTGCGATGGCAACAGTTAGGTGAGATCGAAACTACTAGTAGTATCACGAAGGAAACTGAATCGAACGCTGAACGTAATGAGACGAAAATTGGGGGAGGGGAGTAAATCGTACGGTCAACATGCGCGTAACGTGTATAAACCGACACTGTGTGTATAGGTCAATCGTTTTTCGTTGAGGGAACCTAACTGGGCCTACTGGTAAGCGTTAATGCGAAAGCCCAAGAGGCAATAAGAAACAACGAAAAATTTGGTCACCAAACAAGCACGAAATGAACAGACGTTATCGGCTTTAGCATCTAAATGCATTGAATCCATAGTAACGCTGGTGGTATTGCGAGGTGCAACATTGAAAGGGTGGTCTTCATGCGGTACAACTTCAGCGGATCAATGGGGGCTAAAAGTCACAAAAAAAAAGGTGGCTGTGGTAAAAAGGGGAAAATCATTCGCACATAGCAAAGCTGGCCGTAACACTGTAGGCGTGTGATGTCTGCTGAACCTGACTGTTGTTGCGGCAGTTTCAATAATCAGGAAAGCTGATAGCACGGGCCGTGTTTCACGAAAGGCTGTTGTCAAACAAGGTAAGAGAATGTTTCAGTATTCTAGTTAGAAACAATTCTCGCACCGGAGCCCTTTGTAAAATGATTTGTTTTAAGAATTCTAAAAATATGAAAGAAAAAAAAACTTTACGAAAATAAGCAAAAATGCAAGAAGAATGTGAACAGCAAAAAAATTGTTGTTTCTTGTAAGTGCTATTGATTATAACCTTAAAACTTTTTAGACAAGTTACACGTCTGGCTGCTAAACCAAGACCACGATTTTCTGTAGTGACTACTTCGGCCAGTACGGGCCATGGAAACCGCGGACACAGGAACAAACCTGCAGTCAGTCTTTGTCGGCGTAATTGAAACATTTTCAGGTGTTTTAACATCTTATTGAATGGTCGCGTTTGGAAACTATGACGCTAAATGAGCCTTGAGAAATAAAGCTCAAGGGCTAAACCGATGTGCGTAGCGTTTCATAGACGCATTGCAGATTTTGCACTTTGTATATTCTAATACTGATTTAAAAAGAAAATCCTTGTTGTTGTTGTTCTGCTTATTTGCAATCAGCGGTAAGCATTAAATCACCAATAGCTTTCTTAGATCCTGTTATGTAATTAGATAAACAGTAATTACAAGGTTTCTAAATCATGTGGCCATGTTAGATCTATACTTTGAGTGGCACGCTTAGAAAAGTGCACTGCCTATCCAGTAATTACACTGTGTGAAGCTATTTTTAGCCATTCTCACAGTCATATAACTTCATGATTTCAATGTCGCGTTGAATACAAAGCATCATTCACGGTTTTAAAAGAAAATTTTCACTAATTGCGATTTATCCATCAGTTACGTCCTAGCCAGACGAGTGCTGGATCAAGCACGTACAGCGGCTCCCGTCCAATAGTTTGAGATATGGAACATGGCAAAAGATGACCCCCTATGGATATTTTTAACCGAATATGGCATGGTGCCAATGGATTTACGATGAACTCGCCCGAATCATAAAGCAGTATGAAGTAAACAGAATCCAGATCACACTATTAGTTTAAGCACTATTTCGAAAAAAAAAAAACTCTAAAATTAAAGTGACAGCAAGTGCCCAGTAAAAGATCTATGATGTCCCATAAGTACCCGCTGGTTTCACCTCTGTATTACCTGAACAAGCATAGACTGCCAACAGCAGTATTGGCAACGGCTGTCTATGAAGTCTCCGTGATGGTGTCGTGAGTAATAAGATTGCCTACTCAGGTTAGACGGTCTATATTCGAACGTGAAGGTAGACACACTATCTTATTTCGCGCTGAGAAGAGCCAGCCGTCTAAAGCAGTGCCGGGTCTGAAACCCAAAAGCCGTATTTAGCTGATATTGGAAGTCGTGCCACTTCAATAAAAAAAAAAAAAGTTTTCCCGAAATCTGAGGGACAGTTATTTCGGTGGCTCTGAGGGGTCGAGTCTCGCAAAACGCGAAAAAAAAAACCGTTGACTTTTATAGGCGCAAGAAACTATCCTTAACGTCGGCTGCGTGCTAGGTAATCTGTAAGAAACGTTTTCTCTAAGTAGAAATGGCAACGGATGTCGCTAGTTCTACGATAGTCAGCGTGTTCCCATGACGGTGTGGAGACCTAGAGAAGAAAAAAAAAAAGGAGAAAAAGTGGCTAAAGTTCGAAATCGAGCACGCAGACGTATTTGGTTCCGTAGTGCATAGACCCAGTCGTCTGAAGCAAAGCTCAAGTAAGACAGCACTGGGCGTAGATTCAAAACAGGTATGATTAATTCGAAATAGTAAGGCAAGTCCCCCTGTGATAGTAAAATGGTAACGAACCTTGAGCGCGGCGTATGCTACATAGCCGGAATAGATAGTGTTTTTTTTTTGTAATCGAAAGCCAGCCGTTTGATGTAACGCGCATTGATGGATCGGTGCGCGAAGCTAGAAACATTTAAAAAACAACGGTTAACTGGTCATTCGAAAATTCGCTCTTAACAATCGGCGGCCAAACATTGGTGGGGTATCACACACCCATTATTTTTACACGGAGCGCGCACAATTAATAATATCAACATACATGAAAGATGCCCATATTGATTACCGGACGGTTGAGGGGAGGGAGCTAGAAATCGGTTGCTTTTTCGCACTGAACGAGTACGTTAGTCTCCTTTCGCACGCCGATTTGATCGCTTGCGATAGACACGCGTTGGAAATCTTTTCGAACGTTTTTATGCGTGGGATGTCTGACTTTTCATTTTAATAAAGTCACTTTTGCCAAAAATACGCCCATTTGCGCAATTCAAAGCCGAAGGAGGCCCTGGACATTAGAAAGTTCGAGAAAATTTCATTTAATTAAATAGGTCTGACCTGACTGTGGAGCAATGGTATGCTGTTGAGCATTCAAACGACAAGGGCATGCCTCATCGCTTTACTTTACAATTGCGATATTATGGTACGATATAGACTGATCGATCGGTACGGTACGGTATGGTTGTACATTTGACTGAGCAGGGTACGACTGAGAGGCGTCGAAGTCGATTGATCTTCATGTTTCGTACCTGTCACGCTGATTTCGTACTACCTGATCGTTGCAGTTCGTTTTGTTTACGATGATGATGATGATGATGTTGCTGCGACAAGCAAGCGTAAATATATGTACAACCCACTGGAAAAAACAGACACAAAATGAGTGAGAGGAACAATAACGACCCAAGACGATAACTGAACTATTCTAACGGCGACACGATTGGACAAAGTGAAATATCGGGCGGGCAAACAACGAATGTCCAAGGGCATCGTAACTGGTATCGAAGTGAGTGCCAGCTTTGCTGCCGACGAGGCAGCCTGGAGGACAAGATGCCATTATCGGATGATCGAGTACTAATCAGCCGAAATGACTATGCTGATCTAACGAGGCATAGCCAGTAACAAAGTAAGCAAGCATCATCTTTAATTACCATCAGCCGTGCCATTGCCAATGCAGAGCCAGTCGAAAGCATCTGAAGAGTAGCAGTTTACCAACGGAGAGGTAAACGTCAAGAGGCGGCAATGAAACTTGTCCATTTCGGAGTACGCAGACGCTGCCCTGTTTGTAACCCACCCTCTGTATAATTAGCGCAACTAAAAACGCGTCGCGTGCCCTACGCTATAGCGACAAATATGAATATATCGCTGGGGAAATCAACGATACTTAGGTTAGTTCACTAGTCGACGAATTCACCGTGGCTGTTATTGTATTGTTGATATGATTTTTGCTATTTTTGTTGCTGTTCTTAAGGATGGATTGTGGTTGTCCCGCTGTCATTATTACATGTATCTGTGTATAGCCATTCATTAAAGGTCAGATTGAGTGGTCAGTTACGAATCTTATGTACGTAAACTTCTATCTAGAGGCCGTCACGTTTCCTGTGCTTGAAACGTGTGAAACACACAATCGTTATGTTACGCGGAATTGACTATGGAAAGTACATGTCGATCGTACCAGTAGGAAAGACTTCCACACAAAGCACAGGCTTCAGTTTTGTTTAGATGTAATTGGCTTTTTTATTACCTAGAAATAATTAAGACTTTTTTATTGCATGGACGCACCGATTGGTTACGACAGCAATAAATCGATCGATAGCGTTAAACAGCTTTAATTAGAGATAGTGATATGGGTCCGAAAACCCAGAACAAAAAAAATAAAAGGGGTCGTTTTCTTGAGCAATGCTCATCGGACGTCGAACTCGAGACATCTATATTAATTATAATGCTCATTTCTTCATGCACATGGAGTTCTTTATTGTTTGTTCTTTAAGTCTAATACTGGTAGATTGGGATAGTGAAACCGGAAATTCTTATTTACCATAAAAGCTGATAAGGAACCTTCGTCGTTAAAAGAATAATACACAATGTTGTCGATCTGAAAACTCACTCAAATTTGGATCTACCATTTTATCTAAAACCTACGGTGTTTGTGTGTTTTATTATTTCAACAACATTTAACACTTTCATCTTCAACACAAAACCTTTTTTTTTTTCCTATAACAAGTCCCGTCAACGAAATTTCCAAGAAATCTTATAGAGCTCATAGATTTTATACAAAACATGGTAGATGATGTCTAACCTAAACTTCGTCTTTTTTTTTTACGCTTTTTGAGCTAAAGTATTGGCATTGAGAGGTTTCTACGATTAAAAACATATATATATATATAGAAAATATTTTGTGTATTACAAAACAATCTTGTGTGTGAGTTTACTACCACTCTCTGATACGAAGATCGATAGTACTGCCATCTTTCTTTATTACAGATGAACCATGAACGAGCTAATGAGATAAACATGCTAGAAGTTATGCATACTAGAGAAGTATATTGTTTTGCATATGTTATATAATGTATGCAAAATCCCCTTGGCAACGATTAGCACATATGATACAACAGCATCTTTGAGAAGCATATGAAAATGCACCAAAGGGGTTCGACTCCCAAGCGTAAGTCTGCTGTCTCTACGTTGCCGTTGCTTTATGGGTTGACACTGTTACATCGGTGACCCTCCAGATCAATCTACCCCGGGTTTATTGTTACATGTCGAATGCTCGCCTAGAATAATTGTGGTATATACCTTGCCAGTCGATTACATAAGCGAGCAGCCATTCATATAATAAAGGAACGTTGTAAATGATGTAAGGATCTGAAACACGAACCAGCCATGCGTCGTGTTTTAATCACCTCTAACTAATCTCTCCCGTACGACTTTTCTCATTAAGGGTCCGCCATGGCACAACGAGCACACAATACCATGGAGGATATCGATATTCAGATATAACCTGTATGGCTCATCGCGCCGATCTTCGTTTGAAACAGAAGCCGACATTGGCAGACCGTAGCGCCATCACGACACTTTTCGGCTGGGGTTACCGTGGCGTGCCGTGACGAATCCCAAATCGATCCGCGCAGCACTATTTCGAATATTATCGACGTTATTTACTAGCATGAGCACGGGTAACATGAAGACGGACGGCACCACATCCGTAGCGTTGAGTTGATACAGTGTAACGGTGTCGTATGTTAGAC